GGTTTTACTTTTTGTAAAAAGTTAAAAATCCTAGTTTTATGAAAAAGTTTAGAATTTGTGATGAATTATATCTGTATTCCCAGCACTTTTAAAATTTGAGAATTAAAAATGCCTGAAGCATTGACAGTCTAAAACACCTAGCACCACCCACAGGACAAAATGAGCACTTTACTCCCATTCCTTCATGCATACACAACTCCCATAAGCCTAGCATTGCCATTTACTCAAAAAAGATTTAAGACTAGGAAATGTAAGTCCAGGAGACGTGAACCACAGAATTTCATTCCTGACTGTGTAACACTTAACCTCCGGCTTTGACCATTTTCCTTTACTCCTCCCAATAACTAAATCGATCCATTATATTTAACATACATAGAATGATAAGATCAGTGTCCAGAATCACTTATGCACTTTTCTCGTCAGTTTCCTGGACCTTCTTTCTCTACAGCACTTTAAAATAACTCTTTCTAGGAAATGATTTTTGTTTTTTTGGTTTTTTTTGGTGTGTGTATGCATGTAGTTCACACTGTACCTACATAAAAGGTCTGAGGAGGTGAAAAACCTTCTTAATTGGTTTGCAAAGTTGCTCAGCCCACTTTTCCACTCAGTGGTGTCTTTATAGAGTCTTGCAGGAGAAATCTCTCAGACCTTAATATCAGGTAAGACTATGCTTATCCTGAGTTACTGGAAAGTTTTTATGTCACGGTAACCATGAATCCTAAGACTGTGAATATTGTTATCTTTGTTTTGGCCCCTCTTAAGTTTATAGTCTAATTTGTGGCCAACTTCCAATAATTTACAAAAGTATGACATATATTACTAGATGCTTATCTTACCCTACAGGAGTCTTATCATATCCATTTTATCTTTAGCTAAGAAGAATTCCTCGACTACTTGTTTTATCTTTTTGGACTATGTACCTATATTTTTAAGCTGCTTCAGATACCTTGTGGGATAACTCAGGGTTGAAAAGAGTGACAAAAGGAAGCCAAGAGGGCAGATAGGAGGGAAGCAATGAAGGAAGGAGGGAACCTATAGTGTGCATGTATGTGAATTGATGTTCATGTGTTTGTAGCTCACATTTAAGAGAATAGTGAGAGTGATACATGGTAGATGTACATAGTATGTGTTGGTTACTCATGAATGAGGCTGTGGCAAGCTGAAGCTGTGATGGTTTAGGCTCATGCATCCATTTGGTGACACACATTCCTCTGAGCTATGGACAGTAGGACTAAGTAGGTATGATTAATTCATATACCTATATCCTTTCTTTACAGTTTTTCTGCACCACCAATACCTAACATAGTGTACAGCATACAGTATACATTAAATAAATATTTGTAAATAGATAAAATGATTATCTTGTATCTGGTTAATATACCTCAAATTACACATCCTGAATCTGCATTCTAACTGTCATCTAAAGCTGTCAATCATGACATTTATTGTATGCCTCTTTTTCTTTGCGTGGTTCTTCTAAGATGAAAAGATATAATAATTCCATAAGGGGCAGTTCTTGTGAAAGACCCCCTATAAACTGTGAATAAATTTCTTAACTAAAAGAAAAAAAAAGGTCAGAACAAAGACGATGTTTGAGGCCCTCTGTCTCTTGGTCACAAACTTTTTCCTTCAGTCTGTTATTTGTCTGTTTGTTCACGTGCTTCATAATAAGTCCAAAAAGAGGTTTATTTCAGTTTATAATTCAAATCTAAATTTTAGAGTACTTTAATTGGGATTTGTATTCTGTCTTTTTTTCCTCTAAAGATCAAAAATAGAATATATGAACACATATTTTAAACTGTGTGTAAATTGTAATAAAGCAATTAAAGCACACATTCATAAAATTCCTTGTTTTATTTCCATTTCTTTCCTTGACATGTAGAATATACAGTCTATTAAAATAATATGATAACCGTCTTTGTGAAAGAAAAAGGAAAAAAAAAGGCCTATTGACAGTTGAAAAAAATCCATTTATCTTTGCCCTGCTGGTGCTATAGTTCCTAGAGACAATTTGATGAGGAAATGTTGAATTGTACTTGTATTAACAGCTGATACAAAATAAAGCAATTATAGCCAAGTGTTATCTTTTGGGTCATTCTGATCTCAAAACACAATTCAGGTCATAATTATCCTATAATTTTCTTTTCATTTTTGTGTGTCTTATCTCCAGGCCATGCCTGTACTTCAGTTCCTCAGAAATAGGCATTAATTTAGGACTATTTTCTATTAAAGTATTCTTTTGAATACAATAGGATGATTCGAAATGTCATCATGAGCATGATATAAACTTGTAGTAAATGTATTGAATTACATAGTACTTTTTAGAAACCACTTTAGAAATTCAGTTAAAATAAATTAATATCCAAGTAGCCTCCCAGAATTTATAAATTCAGTGAGGATGAAAAGAGAAAAGTTAAATCATAT